ATTACATTAAATTACATTACATTGCATTGCATTACATTACATTACATTACATTACATTGCATTGCATTGCATTGCATTACATTGCATCACATCACATCACATCACATCACATCACATCACATCACATCACATCACATCACATAACGTCACATCACGTTACAATACATGATGATACATTACATTACTATATATTACATCACATCAAATCGCGTCACATCACATTACAAAACGTTACAATACATTACGATACATTACATCACATTACATTACTAGCTGTATACACGCACATACATACCTACATACCTACATACCTACATACCTACATACCTACATACCTACATACCTACATACCTATCTACATACATACATACATACATACATACATACATACATACAATACATACATACATACATACATACATACATACATACATACATACATACATACATACATAGCAAACAAACAAACAAACATACATACATACATACATACATACATACATACATATGCATACATGTGCATCTGAGTGTGTGTGTGTGTATACAAACATGCATATGTCCATCCATCCACCTATCCATCCATCCATCCCTCCATCTGCCCGTCCGTCCGTGCATGCGTGCAGGGATCGATGCACGCATGCATACATTAACACACCCTCAATTCGCAAGCAAGCATCTGTGTGTGTGTATGTATGTATCTATGGATGGATGCATGCATGAATGCATGCATGGATGCTTGTATGTATGTATGTATGTATGTATGTATGTATGTATGTACATAGGTATGTGTTTATTTGTGTATGTATGCATGTATGTACGTACGTATGTATGTATGTATGTATGTATGTATGTATAATGACATACATAGAGACCAGGAGAAATTGCCCTGAATGATCGGATCCGTAAGGTAAACAAGACATCGCGGTATCCGAACCCCACTGCTTGAATGCGAAACCCTAACGTGCTTCGAAAGTCTCAACGGTAGCAACAGCAGCAGCAGTAGCAGTAGCGTTATCAGTAGCAATAGCAGTAGCAGTAGCAGTAGTAGCAACAGCAACAGTAATTAACGTTAGCAGCAGAAGTACTAGAATATATAGGGGTGCAAGAATAATAGTAACAGTGGAAACAGCAGCAGTTGTAGTCAGTAGTCGTCGTCGTCGTCGTCTTATTCGTCGTAGTGAGAAGTCTCATCCTCGGCAGATAGATGTCTCCAGTCGCTCATACTGTTGATGATATAAACCCTGCATTACCTTAAGGACCCTAATCTATGGGAATTAGCAGGATTTATATCATCAACTGTAGGTTTGAGACTCAGATGCTTTGTAAATGGCTCAAGGCTTCGGGGTCTTTAGGGATTTAGGGATTTAGGGGATTAGGGTGTGTAGTTCTGCACAGTATAGCCAGGTACATCACCAACATCTCCAACTCTGAAAGTCTGGCTGAAACAGTGAACCCATGAACCCTTCAGCAAAACCCTAAACCCAGCACTCTAAAATCCTAAACACTGCAAATGCCCTGACGCCTTAAACCTTAAAGCCCTACGTCCCTGAACCCTCCCCCCCCCTCCCCCCGGCTGTCGCGGAAAGCTATCCTTTTTCCCAAAGCACTCTAAACACAAGGCACCAAGGTATAGATCGAGCTCGGCGGATGGTGTTCGAGCAGCCCGTCTGTGCAAGTGGGTGTTGTTGTACATTCGGGTCCCTTTCCAGTCTCTGTGACTGTAGAGTTTCGAATCTTAGGGTCTAGGACTTGGGGTCGCAGATTAAGGGTTTGGGCTTAGGGTTTAGGGTTTAGGCTCAGGGTTCAGGATTTAGGGTTTAGGGTTTGGGGTTTAGGGTTCCTCTGCATGAGGATAATAGTGATAAGCTGATAGTAGCGCCTCCCCATAGTGCGCAGATCATGTCGAAACTTCCCCAAACCATAATCGTATTTCCTTGAATAGAAACCCACTCTTCTGCTATATAGGTACACAGGACCCTGTGGGAAATAGTACATCCTGTGGCCTTGCTTAAACTGATGCCTCTATGGGCACTATGGGGCGAACGTCTATACCATTTGGGTCCATGGACCCTTAGGGATCACTACTCAGCAAGTTGCAGGACCCCTAAACCCTAAACCCTCAACCCTCGGTGCAGAAGCTGCGAGCCCCAAGACAGAAACATCTGATACTCACCTAAATACCTACATTACAGCTATGTTTAGGGTTTAGGGCTTAGGGTTTAGGGCTTATCCCTAAGCCCCAGTACCGACCTCATCGGTGCTTCGGAACAAATTATGGCAAACACTGAACTCGACATCTTAACTCTCTTCTTCAACAACCGGGCCCAAAAAAGTTCAATCTTTTTGGAATAGACCAAATATGTAATGCCAAAAAGCTTAAAGTTCTCCTAGTGGTTAACTAAGTTAAGGGGGCCCTAAACCCTAAACCCTAAACCCTAAACCTTAATCTAGAACAACAGCCAACTTTTGCAGAGAAGAATAAATGGAAAATCGCCTCTGCTTTCGGCCAGCTTTATGCGCTCAGATGTGGTGTGTTGGACCTGCCCACAGGGTCCTAAGTACCTGTTATGGAAAAGATTCGCTAAATCATATAGTGGTAGTTCACAATATAGAAACCCTACATTCTACTATATAGGTAATTAGGGCCCTTTGGGCTGTTAAAGCCCAAAGACGCTGCGCATGCGACATGAATCCGCACTGAACCTCTCCGAGCTGGAAAGGGTGGGCGGATCCAGTCAGACTGGTCTATGGCTTTTTAGGGGCTTTGTGGCTTTCAACTCAGTTTTGACAAGCATTTTGCAAGGGCTGTATCCCTAGACCCTAGACCCTAAACCTAAACCCTAAACCCTAAATTTACAAACTGAGGGTTCGGCACTATACTTATTGAGTCCCAGTGGTTTATGGTTTAGGGTTGCCCTACACCCTATAATCCTATCCCGAACAAGACAGTATAAAACACTATCCTGAGAGAGCTTTGGGCTGCAGAGTATTCAGTGTTGGCTTCTGGGCCTCGGGGGTTTTAGTTTTAGGGTTTCGGTTCTTAATTCCCCAAGAGGCCAGGGAAATAAAGGTTAAACTTTCAGATTACTACTAAGTTTGAAGAACCCAAAGAGTGCAAAGATTGGGTATTGGGGAACTAGGGGTTTAAGGCAGTTCGATGGCCTGCGGGGTTACAGTTCCAGATTTCAATTCCTACCGGTTTCCTTCAGGCATTCCTGAGTTGACCCGCCACCTAAAAGACTTGCAGTTTTGTTCAGGGATCGCTGGCAGGTTTCATAACCAGGAGCCCTAATCCCCTAAACCCTAAACCCTAAATGACCTGCACCACAAAAAAAAGTAGTTCTGTAAGTTAGGGTCCCCTTTCCGCTTCTTTTTATAAGGGTAACGTACTACATTTGGGGGGACCCTAATTTAGAGAACTACTCACATCCATTTTGGGGGGTCTTGCCTCGGAATTCCTTTAAAAGGAAACCCAGAAACCCAAAGGTTGCTAGGGTTCAGGTATACAGTTGCATGGGGCTCACATAGGGGCCTTAAAAAATTAAAGTAGGGTTTTGGGGTATGGTATACTATAGCTATAATAAGAACCCCCCCCCCCAAAAAAAAAAAACAGTATAGGTAATGATCAAGGCCCCGACATGAACGTGTTTAGGGCTTTGGGTTTGCTGCGCATGGCTTCGGGGTTCGACCTTCCTGGACACCTTGACCCTCAACCGCCAACTCGTCCAAACCCTGATAAGCGCAAAACCCGTAGACCCCAAAAACAAACCCAAAGGGTCCTAAGTACCTGCATGGTACCCAGTAGGGTTTCTATAGTACTTGGAAGTTCATGGGCAGTTCTAAGTGGGGTTACAAGTCCCCTAATATGGGTTATAAGTATAGTTACCCTACCTATAACCCCCACTATAACTACCCATGAACCTCCAAGTAGGAATTATGATGGTTTGGGAAATAGGTACTTGGGACCCTTGAGGAAAACAACGCCCCGAACTTTAGAGAGCCGTTACGAAGCCTTTGATGAGCAAAACCCCGAAGGAGCCCTTGTAAGCGCATAAAGCCCTGATAACCCCTCCCACAAGGGCTACAGTTAGAATGGGATTTTGGGGTTTCTTAATACATAGAAGAATGTAGAATAAGGAACGGCCTCGAAATGGAGTTGGCACATATTTCGGCCCCGATAAAAAAAATACCCCAGCGCCCAAACCAGCTTCTTGCCTCCTGACTCAAAGAGCCCCTTTATCTGGCCGTCGTCTGCGGCAACGGCGAACATCTGAAAGTCCGACATCACGCCCCAGGCTTCCTTCTCTATGTGATTTCCCTAAACCCTAGACCCTAAACGCCCCAGGCTTCCTTCTCTTTGTGGTTTGCTTTGTCATTGCTTTTTTTGGTAGTTTATTTCTGCTTGCGCTTTCTTTCAAGCTCCGACCTTTCTTTGTACTGGCTTTGGCTTCATTTTTGCTTGAATTTGCGGGGTTTAGGGATTTAGTGGTCTTGTGGCTTTGGGGGGTTATGGTTCAGGGTCTAGGGTTTTTGGAGGCGGCGTGCCGCCTGTCACTTGGTCGGCTTTGGGTTTAGGGTTTCGTTGAGGGGGTTTACGTTTTAGGGTTAGGGTTTACGGAATAGACCATGGTTTCGGGTTTCGGGCTTTTTGGTTTACCATGCAACGACGTGCACAGGGGCCACATTCTGACCAGCGGCTCTGCAACCGCGGCTGTTCCCCACCACGCCGATGGTCCCTCGTGCCTGGCGGGTGGAGGGTTTGGAGATGCTGTTTTGGCTTTTGTAGCCGCCGTTTCCTCTTGCAGCTCCGGGTTTAAGGTTTCGGCTGCCGGATGTGTGTAGTGTATTTGTGCTTGTAGGATTGCTTTAGGGTTTAGGGGTTTAGGGGTTTAGGGGTTTAGGGGTTTAGGGGTTTAGGGTTTAGGTGTTTAGGGTTTAGGGTTTAGGGCAGTTTAGGGTTTAGGGTTTGGGCTTCTGGCCGCAGCCTCAGCAAGAGGTGGAGGCAAGCTTCTGGGAGCTCCGTGGTTGGTGAACTTGTTTGCAATGTTGCCGAGCACGGTAATGAATGACTTGAAACATGCCTAGATTTTCCTTGCGGAGTTCTGTTAATACAGTTTAGGGGATTAGGCTTCAGATTCCTAAAGCCCTAGAGCATAAACCCTAAACCCTAAGCCCTATATAGAGCCCTTACTCCCAAACCCTTTGACCCCTATTCCGAACCCAGAGACACCAATACCCCTTAATTCAGGAACATACCTTAAAACATATTAGGGATTCTACTATAATTTAAGGTATATTCCTTAATTAAGGGGTATTGGAGTCTCTTAGAAATGCTACGCCCTGGCCTGCGACCGCTTCGAGCCGATCCTCAAGCCGTCGACGTAGTACCTGGGGTTTAAACAATTCCAAAGAACCTGCCTTTTTGAGGACTTGTATAAAGAAACCATAATAAGGAATCCTAGAAAGGTAGGTTATTTGGGGTCCAGGTAAACCCTAAACCCTAAACCCAAACCGAAGACCCTGTTTAGGATTTAGGATGGTTTTGAGGATGTGAAGTCTAAACGGTTCTTCGAGGGCTTGGGTTCTCTGAAGGGTTTTTCTTACCCAAATGGTTCATATACCATCGTGGAATGGGTACCAACAGACCATCCTAATGATCCTAATCGTGGTTTTGGAGTTACAAAAAAATAGAGCATGTGTGTGAATCTTTAGATATGTATATATATATATATATGTGGACCCCTTCGATAGGCTCTATATGGGTTATGGTTCGGGGATTTAAGGTTGGAGGGTTTATGGGGTTCCGGCTTCGACTTTGCTTTGTGGGTTCTCGGGTCTTGGTTTGGAGACTTGGTGGGCGTGCCCGGCGTTGAAGCGTAAGACGTTGTAAGGCGCGAAGAAAGGCCCGAAGACAGCAACAACATTTTGACGTGGGTAGTTGTCAAAATTATGGTCCCTTTTGGGGTACCCTAAATAATAGGTGCCGTATTATAATCCCTATAAACCCTAAACCCTAAGGACCCAAAAAGGGACCCTAATTTCGACAACCACCCATGTGGCATCTCTTGCCAGAAGGAGCCTCGGTCGAATCAAAGGAAGGTGCCTGTAACGAAGCAAGGTAGAATACTGGGTTTAGGGTTTAGGGTTGTAACCAAGGGATTTGTTGGTTGCAAAGCTTCACACGAAGAGAATCATAAGGATTGCGCATTCAGTAGTATGGCAACAGTGGATAGCAGGAACCGGGTAGTATGTCTTTTCAGGCGGGTTGCGAGGTCCGCCGGCTGCGGCCCACGACAGCGATGTGATGCCAGCCGTCGGCTAACTCACGGGCGTTGAAGCCCTCCACGAACGAGTTGCTGTTGTAGTTCCTGTGGGGGCTGTCGCTGTCACTGTAGTAAGTATAGACAGACTCTAGTGGCACTGCTTCGGGTGCAAGGTGCAGGGACTACACGTACAGCCTGTAATGAGAGCGCCATGTTCGGTGCTCATCGCCCTCAAGAGTCCATGACAATCAGGTACCGGCTTTTTTAAGGACTCTTGAACCCATGATGTTGCCTGGTTACTGTAACAGGAGTAACAAAACCCTAAATTTTATACCCAAAAAACCCTCAACCCCAATTAAACCACCCAACAACCCCGAGCCGTCCTTACACCTCCCAGCCGACGCAGCCAAGGGTCCCCAATCGTCCCCGGGCGAGAATCACGGCAATGAGCTCTTGCGAGTTCGGTGAATCTGACCAGCACAAGGTCTAAGGTATAATGTAGGAACCTGATTCAACAAACCTTGGATCTTTATTGGGGTTCTTCATATGGATCCAATTATTTCGGGGCTTGGTCAGGTTCTTACATTAGACGGTTTAGAGGGCTATTAGATTCATAGGGCATGCAAGGCCTATAGGGTGTAGACATGTTTTTAAGGAATTAGGCTATTGGCAATCTGACCATCGCAATAAAGCTTCTAGGCTGCCGGCATTACTGTGGGTGTAAAAACCTGACCCTAAACCCTAAACCCCAAACCGTAAACCCTAAATCCCAAACCCAAGACCCTAAACCCTAAACCCCAAACCCTAAACCCTAAACCCACGACTTTCGAAGCTAAGCATTCCGGGTTTGCTGCTGGTTTCGGAGTCCAGGGTGTTGGGTTTCGGGGGCTACTCTTGTACGGTTTCGGAATTTAGCATAACCTGAAGACTTGGGTGAGCTCTTGTGAAAACGCGTGGTGCAAGAAGACTGCTTGGTGGATCCCAAACCCATGTTCCAACTTTCTGGGATTCGCTATAGGCCTTCTAACCCTAAACCTCTACACCCCCTAGACCAAGTATCCATATGTAGGTACTCAAGACCCTGTGCCTAAGCCTCAGAATGTGCAGCCCAGGGAGCCTATGAGATCCCGATAAGTTCGCGCGGCAACGTCGATGGGTGCCAGAGTCCACACAGAGATCGTCCATTCCTGGAAGGGTGTTTTGGGTTTTTTTGGGCATCTATGCGCGGAGTTGTGCACACCCCTGGCATGTCTCGAGGGCCTGGCAAAGTGCCATAATCAAAGGGTCTAAGTACCGATATGGTAGATCGGTAAATACTTTGGGGCCGGAAAAATCCACGATATGGGTACTTAGACGCTTTGGGAATTACCGAAGATGAAGAGATCGGCAATTCATCTACGGGCTGCGCTCTTTCTCATCAGCCCCATTCAGCTTTTGAACGCAAACAACCATTTCTTTGTTCTGAGGCGCCGATCCAAGCTGCACCGTCTGTGGAAGGAGCAAGCAACCGCGTCCTTCTGGGGGCATGCGTATAGAGCTAGTTTCAAGCTTTGGTGTTTAGGTGGAAATGGTCTTCCTCGCAGAAACTAACTACTACTGACTCAGACTCCATGGATGTAAACCCTAAACCCAAACCCTAAACCATACTGCAAAAAACTCTCCATCGAAGACCCTGGCTGGGTCCATCGAAGTTGACACCGCGCTTTCCGCCGGAGTTCACGGAAGTGACGTCCTCGGAGTTCTGGAAAGTACCTGAACTCGTGCTCGGCTTCATGTATAGGGATATAGCAGTTAGGATAGGGTTGTGGGGTGTATCATAATATGTTTGCACCAAACTACCAAGCAGTCTGTTGGAGCTAATCACGTGGAGCAGGATCACAAAAAAGTGCCATAAACCCTGAACCCCCTGATTTGGGACCCTATACTCAGGAGTGCTGGTTGTAGGAGCCGCCTTAAAAGCCTTAAAGGGACCCTATGATAGAACCCCACAGCACACTTTCTTTAAGGGGAGCCTGTTTTCAAAGCCCTGCAATACCCCTTTAAGGGATCTTCTTTTGGGATCCGCCCATGAGTCAGACAAGGGATGCAGTTGGTGCCGGGGAACCCGTGGAACCGCTGATGGCTTCGTAGCCCAGGTTCTCCTGAGGATTGAGGGGTTGAGGTTTATGGTTTAGGGTTTAGGGATCTAAGGGTTTAGGGTTTATTATCGATTTGGGGGGGGCACTGACTGTTAATCAATGCCCCTGGAAGTCCTGGGTATAGTCGAGCCAACAGAGTCCATATGTGTTACCATGATGGAATACCAAGAGGCCATCACGACCATGGTTTTGGGAGACCTAATTCCATCATACTAGCATAATACGGACCCTCTTGGGAGTATACTATGTTGGGGTCGAAAAGTCAGGCGGGGCTTGCTGGAAGTAGGACCCTAAACCCCAAACCGCGAAACCCTACAGCGAATCTCAGAAAGTTGGAACATGGGCTTAGGAGGATTAGTGCTAGGATTCCTTATACTTTACCGTAATAATTCGAATAGGGTTTTGGGGTATATTATAATAAGCACCCCCCCCAAAAAAAAAACAAAAAAAATAGTGTAGGTAATTGTTACGGCCCCTATATTAGATGCCGTAGTTTGGGACCCCGTACACAAGGGGTACTTTATAGGAACCCCCTTAAAGGGATCTACGTGTTGGATCCTTCCGGGGGTCTGGGTTTAATGTGGAAGAACGGCAGGGACCCCTAGCCAGAAGCCCAACCACCTCTGCATTGGGTTTAGGGTTTTGGGTTTAGGGCCCAATGCTCCGTAATTTGATCAACCCCTGAAGCACCCTTCGCAGTGAATCCTAGGCCTACATCGGTAAATCTCTGTAACGCTGAGGTCTACGCACACACACACACACACACTCTTCACTGATGACTGTCCTTAGCTCCACTTAAACCTGGACCTAAACCCCGGAACCTGAACCCGAAACCCCAAAACCCCGCAAACCCGGCCCAAAACCGACGAGACCGACTGGAAAAAATGAACCCGAGAACCTGAACTCCCTGCAAAAAGCACCAAACCCTGCAGAAGCCCGACGACCCACCCCAAAAAACCCTGAATTAAAACACTAACCCGCCCTTTTCCCCCACCTCCCGGCCTACCATACTGGCCTTAATAATTGGAATAGGGTTTTGGGGCCCATTATTAAGGCCCCTATAGTACCTCTCCCCCCCTTTCCCCTACCTGCCGGCCTAACATCAGTAACATGTTCTACAGGCTCAACCTTGAACCCCAGCCAAACAGCCCCAAACCCTAAGCCCTAAAGCAGTCTCCGGATCGTCAAAGGGCAAGCGAACCAACGGGTTTGCCACCAGACCTTAACCCATTTGGGGTTTATTGTTCGGGGTTTCGGGTTTCATAACCCTCGACCGGTGTAAGGCTTAATTACTGCTTCCGTTTGTGGTTTAGGGTTTGCTTTTTGGGCTTCAAAGGTTGTGGGTTGAGGATGCAGAGTTTCAAGGGCTTGTGGAGCAGGGCGTAGATGGTTTCCGGCGGGGATTTAGGGCTTTGTAGGACCCTAAACCCGAAACCCTTAACCGCGGGTTCGGGGTTTAGGGCTTAGGATCTACCTTAAGAAGCCAAAACCTACTTTTTTGTAGGTTCTTATTATAAACCCTAATATGGGATTTATAAGGACCCTACAAAAAAGTAGGGTTTTTGATTCTTAAGGTATAGGGGTTTAAGTGATTCCGGAGCTCGGGGGTCAGGATTCCACGAACTGACGGTGTGGAGGCTCAAGGACGGCATTTGGGGGTTTACGGTTTAAAGCTCTAGGCGCTTGCAGTTTGAGCTTTAGGGGTTTAGGATTTAGGGTTAGGGTCTTTAGAACTCTCGGATTCAGGGTAGTGCATCGGCCCTGCCATGTCTATGAAAGCAATCTAAAGCCTCGTGGCCCGGTGGCTCGCAAACCCTTTGACTCAGGATTACAGGGTTTAGGGATTAGGGCTCTGGGTTTAGGGTTTAGGGATTAGGGTTCAGGGTTTACGGATTACTTCCTCTCTTATCGAAACAGGAAACAGGATGCAATTTACAAGTTTGATGGAGGGATATTGGTGTGACGGAGGACCCTTCATGTACAGGCATCGAAGGCACTATCCACCATGATCAGGGTGATGTCATCCACGAGGCCGTAGTCCATCCTTGGCCAATACCCTAACCCTAAACCCACTAAATCATGCAAAACAGAACTCGACACCCGGCCTGCTCGCAGCAGATACGCTTCGACCACGAACGAACAACGCATGCGTAGGTCGCCCGGCTTCAAGGCTTGTTGTGGATTTAGGTTGTATAGGGCTTAGCGGATGATATGTCTGGTGGCGAGGACGATGCCGATGGAAAATCAAAGTAAGATGTTGATGCTGAGGATGTTGAAGAAGATGCAGATGATGATGGTGATGATGATGAAAAATATAAGAACACGAGCACTGATGATCACAGCAACCGGAACCCATGTCTAACCATGGTCAATTTTTTTACGGCAGCATGTTCACCAGGGGTATACTGTATACTCGTTCTGTTTAGGACTCCCTGCCCATGGAGTTACAACACTGCTTCTGGGTCCACAGTTCGGAGTTTAAGTTTTGGAGTTTTAGGGTCTAGATTCTAGATTTAGGGTTTAGGGGTAGGCCTAAAGCCAGCGTAGGGGTAGTTAAAGAGCACCAGAGGGCTCCGGCGTCACAGGTGCCGTGATTGCGGGGTAAACTCCTAAAGCCTATCAATCTACATGCTAACCCGCCAGATCCTTCAAGATAACCGGGTCGTTGTCCAAAGAAATGTCACTGTGTGGATCCTCAACGAATGCAAAAAAGGGAGCCTGAACCGAACACCTGCTACCAGTCCGGCGAACTTGAACCCCCCCCCCAAACAAAAAGCCCTACCCTAAACCCGAAACCCTAAACCCGAGCGTCAGCAGATGTGAATCCTTCATCTCTACCATTCCGTCCGTTGTGGTGCACAGCTTGACGATGCAACTTTGGCAATCCTAAGCGGCAAGCGGAGAACGCACCCTTAAGCTTCAGCCGCGTCCACTTTGGGTTTAGGGCTTACGGTTTAGGGTTTAGGGTTTAGGGGTTTAGGGTTTAGGGGTTTAGGGTTTAGGGTTTAAGGGTTTAGGGTTCCCACGTCTTGCTTAAGTTATTGATATGGCCTCTTGAACTCTCTATTTCT